CGGTTGAGCGAAATTCAGAAACAATTGGGGAGCGTGATGATCGCGGGGGTGGAGACGGATATGGAGAGGAGTGAGTATATGGAACGGTTGGATGCTGTTGCTGTTGTGAATGGGGGAACGACGGCGAGGGGGGAGAGCGCGAGTACCGCGGGGGGTGGGGGGAAGAGGAAGAGGAGGGCAGCGGTGGAGGGCGAGGTGGAGAGGGAGGAGGGAAGTCGGAGGAGCGGGAAAAAGGCAAAGGGGGGTCAGTCGAGTTCGAGCTCGTTGAACCTGCCGTTTGGTGTGTGATTACCTGTTTTTTTTGTTTTTACATTTTCGGCTAGCTATTTGACAATGTATTGAATGAATGAATGATGGCGTTCAGAAAATATTACAAGTGGTGGGTGTACGTGTATAATAGTCGATTCACCATCATGCATTACGTGCGATAACCATTTGGAGGCCCCAACCGAGAGAAAAAGGGAGCAAGCTACCTGGAACACTCTCCCCTTAGTGCTGTCATCTCGCAGTAATGAACCAAAGCACTAGTGGTGTGTTTTTTCAGATCTGGTTCAAACTTTACATTTCCTCGTGCTCTCTTACGACTACCGTTATCTCGAATCCGAGCCGATGTTCGCGTCATGAAGGATGGGTGATCAGGCCAGGCCAACTTAGACATATCATTCTCAAAATCGGCACATGAAACCAACATGGAACTTCAAACTTACAACGTACAATAATTCGTGCGCTACTAGTACACATTTGTGATAAACGCTTTGTCAAGCTCGAAAACTCGGTCCCCCCATTAAGGCTTGCACTTCGGCTTATGTGCCTTCCAGTCCTTCTTCTGACACTCTGGGGAACAATATCGCACCTTCTGGCACCCCGCGCATTCTTTGATCCTCGGTTTCCCTTTCCCTCTGCATACCCGACACTTGCGAGCGTCCGGATCCCGACCCACAGTCTCAAGATAAGACACTGCGAACAATGGCGAAAGCGCAACCCGGGTGACGTATGGTGCGAATGTCTTCCATAGTCCTACTTTATGCATCCCTTCGACGTCCTTCCCTCTTCCGCAACTACACAGGGGATCTGCCTCCATATCCTCTGTGAGCGGGATGCGGCCTTAAGCAATATATTCACAATTCGCCCCATGCGTCCATGAAGACCGGCACCTCTCCACAAAGGCGGGCAAGAGCTGCTTCCATGCCTGCATCCCGCCTTCGAGCACATCAATATTGATCATTTTCCCCTGGTGAACCAGGTTCGCGAAAGGCTTCTCATTCTCCTTTATTATTTCCACCGTCAGAGGGAGGACATACCCGTCGCAGATAAGTGTATGAGCCGCCAGGTCGTAACGAATTTCATCAATAAAGATGCAGGTATCGCAATTATTTGTCTTCTTATCGCGGAGAGCAAATAGACGATGCACAGTTCCACCTTGGATTCCTGAGGCGCCAACGAAAATGGACTGGAGGGTGTTTTTGACGAACATCAGCGTGTCGATCTGCTGTTTCTTCCTGAGTGATAGTTCGCGAGCGGACATCGTGAAGGCGACGTGGGGGTCGAGCCACTCCTTGATATTTCTGGCCTTGACGTCAAGGACGGGCAAGGCGGACAGATTAACCCGATGGATGCTCCACGTATGGAGCAGGCCTTTCGAGTTGATGACGGGAAACGGATTCAGCTTCATTCCATCCGGCATGAGTGATCTGGAGGTCGGTACAACAACCTTGTGGGGCGGAAGCGGAAGTTCAGACGCAAAACTTCAAGAATCAGTGATAAGTATGTACGTACCTCAATATGTCGTGACTTCCGAGCGAGGCGCAGCCGATGCGCACTTCCTGCGACTGGGAAAGGATACACTATATCCTGGGTTTGGTCACCCAGTGCAACTCTGATGATACAAGGCGAGAGCTGCGTGATTTGCGGAACGACTTTGCCGCCGGCTTCACTGAACAGCCGCGCAGAGTCCTCGTTGGTAATAGACACCCGTGCAGTCAAAGACGTGATCAATTCGCACTGTTCATCCAACTCGACAGACGCAGCCCCAGATTTGCCGATCTGAGACAATACACCTGGCTCTTTACGGCCTAATGATTCAGATGGATATCTCGAGGGCAAGGGGTGTTCGGGGAGGACATGAACAAGGGTCTTGTCCATCAATTTGGCGCTGAATACATGGAGAGCGAGACCCAGCTTCTTGATGAGAGTTGCACATGCAAGAGGCGTATTGCGAACGCCGAAGCCGATGCTGAGCTGCTCTGGGGGCTCTGCACAAAGAAGCCAAGAAGGTGCAACGAAGGATACAACAAGCGATGAGCTTCCTGCCCAACCCCTCGTATCCTCTTCAAAAATAACATGTGGACGAGATTTTGTTCCCATGGGAATCGCTCGTCCAAAGGCAACGTGTACGGCGGTGAATATGTTTTGGTGGCGCATACCAAAAATGTCGCACTGCAGTGGTGGATTGCCAATTTCGTCGGGCTTCGAGTTTTCTAGCACAGAAAGTTTCTCACGGGGGACGACGAGAACAATGCGCACAAGATCAGGAACTGTGTCCCAAAGTGAAAACCGTCCGGTCTTCAAAGTGGGCTAGGGGGGAACGGGGCCTTATACACACCGTGCCGATGTAACTGCCCACCAAAATCTTGTAAGTGCAGTGTGTCCATTGACTCGATCGACCAAGCGGCGAGTTGGAGTGACATAAACCGGTCCATAACACGAGTCCATGAATCCTCAGAGGGCTGAAGCCTACGGCGGATGAGCTGCAGCAAGAGGACGAAGGATTCTCGACCGTAATGCGCAAGGTTCGAGACTCCAACTGCTTTGTACACGTTCTTCTGGTTGGCAGCCCAGAACGTCTTTGAGCTCTCTTGCTCGAAGATGGACTGGTAGATGTCATAAAGCAAGGTCCCCAGCTGATGTTCATCAAACACAGGAGACGCGATATTTGCCGTCTGAGAGGCAATTGTATCTCCGGAAGTGGGTGCTTTCCAAGTCGTAACCTGTTGAAACTGCGATACATTTGCTCCTTGTTTCGACTGCCTGTGCATAATTAGCTCATGCGTGTTGGATCGGGTGGAAAATCCACAGAGATAATCGACTGGAGATAAACCGATGAGAAGACCAATGACAGAGAGGTCAGCGTGGAGGTGCTCTGTGAATTCCTTCGTCGCGGAGTCCTGCCCAAGGAAAAGAAGTGATTCGGTGTATAGAACACTGGATGGTTCACGCGAGAGGAGGGGTAAAGATGTAACGAGGACGTTCAGCAATCCAATGTGATCCTCCAGGTTGGACGTGTGAATGACATTGAAGTTCACGGGAGCTCCACCAGGAGCAGATGTATAGTACTCATCCCCGCTGAGCTGTATCAACTGCGTCTTCCACTGTGCCACGGGGACGCCCGGATTGAGTATGCCCACGTCACCAAACGCGCGAAGCGCACGGCAAACGGCGGTAGCTTCGCCGACGAAAAAGCGGATGATGGGTGGAGAAGTAGAGGATAATGAGTCGAGATAAGAGGAACACCAACCCGCGAACTCTTGATTTGCCGCCTTCACGACTTCCGTCATAGGTACTGCAGATTTCGCGTTGCCGAATAAAGCAGCAAGATGGAAGACGTTCAAGGGATCGGTTCCATAGTGGACCGAGCAACCTTCTCCGCCCAAAGAATAGACGAAGGTCGGGTTCAGTAATGTCGCAGCGGCAATTCTCTTTCCGTCGACAAAGGTTACACCTGTCTTCCAGTAGTTCCTGAAGTGTTCCGGAAGGATCGTCAACCCGCGGAGTCGAAGAGGTCCCAGGGAACGAGTAGCCGTGCTTGTGCCTTCCTTGGAGTTCTTCCTGGATAGTCGGTCAAATGCATCGCGTATGGGTGCAAGTCGCGAATTCGGTAACTCTTCCATGCCAACATATAGCGTCCAATGACGTCTGAGTTCTTTGCGCGTGTAGTCGGTAGACATTTTTATATATGACGCGTATGGGGAGACTTTCCATTTCTGGGCGGTCTCTGAGTGTTCAATTAACTTCTTGCATTGATCGATGAGAGCGGTATGTGAATCTTTGTCCAAGCGAAAATGGAAGAATATGTTCCAAATCGTGGCGTACGGTTGGCGATCAGCAACCATGGTCAATAACAGCATATTCCGGGCTACGAGGTCAGAGAGTTAATCAGTGAATTGGCTGGTAAAATCGCAGAGTGATAACCAGTCTACCTAACACCGCCGGATCGAAATCACAGCAAGTAAAGTCCAGAGCGCGGCCAGCTGTATGTGGGATGGACCATCAGTTCATCGGCATATCTCGGATGACGCAGTGAAAGTACGAACAGTTTCGAGGCTCGGTGAAGATTGTATGCAGAATGTTACGTGGGTCACCACAACCCAAGAGTAAGATACGGGCAGGCTCTTCGAGGGTAAGATCTGCAGTTAAAGACACCGCGCTCGTATTTCCTATGGCGTAGAAGAAGTATTTGGATGGCCAGACAAGTAGATTAGCCATCGTCGACACTGCAGAGAGATGAGCGCCTGTTGAAAGGAAGGTGTGTCAACATCGAACCACGCTTCGTCAAATCAGGTGACCTTCGGGCCGAAGAAGTGGTCTCAACGGTTGTCCACAACACTTGCAGGTCCTGTAGCTTCGGTCAAAAGGTCAGTAAATAGCATAGAGCGCAAAAAGGAGGATCTGACGCGCACAGATTCAAAAACCAGCTGGAAGGTTGGATACCAGCGGTAGATATAACATTTGCTCAAGGCTCGACACAGTGCGGATACACTCTCCCATTAATTGTCATATCGGCCTCCCCGCGCTGTGTTTTATAAGCCCTGATCAAAGATCGTCCCTCCAAAATAAACCGAACTTGCCTTAACCAGAATGTACACTGAGAGCGTCTTCGGGTTCGAGGGTATCTTCGTGAACATCCATTCTGTCAGAGTCTGTGTATCCGAAAACGCTAAAGCGTTTACAATCGCACCCAGGTGGGCTGCGGGCGGTAGAGATCGATTTGAAGATGTCGTGTCAGGCTTCGCGCAAGGAGGCTTTTGAGATGACGACCTTTCCATGCAAAGTTGGGATCATATGAGTCCTTATCTGCATCTCGCACATCAGTATTCTTCTCCCGTGGAAAGGAAAATAAAACGCACCTTCACCACAATCGCCCCCTTCAAGTTATCCCCCGGGAATGGGCACCATTTCCATCTGCAATCGGATCTCCTGCGCTGAGGGTGATGCAGATTCCCAATGCTGGGGCGCAAGGTCCAAGAATCCGCTTCTGAAACCCGCCTCTTAAGTCCTAGTACAGCAGGAGCTTTTGGAGCGCGATATTGGATTGAGTCACTGCAGCAGTGAGGGGCGTGAAACATGGGCGATGGTTGGGCTGAGGAAAACGTGGGCCGGTGGGAGCTGCTGTGGCAAATGGAAGTGCTCGCAGTGGCATCCTGTATTCAGATAAATAATGGTACTGTTAGCCAAGTTCGCACCTGTGAACCCCGGTTGTTTGGTCCTGTTAGATAGGAACTTGATGTGCTTGTTCCTGTCTAACTAGATACAAAACCACTTTTCCAGCGCTCTGGGCAATAACTTTCATTACCTCCCTACCTTTTTACTACCTAAGACTTGTAGTAGAATAAATTTGTCCGCATTGGGATGTATCCTTTCCCATCAATGCTGGCCGTACACCCGTTGCGTCCCATCAATGCCATCATTGCTTTATCATTGCCGACTACCAAATCCGGTAATGGTTCTCACCGTGGGCGTCATCCCGCCGTCCCGCCCCCCAGTGATCAACATGGTGTTTCCACTGTTACTGGGCCGTTTCCCCTCAAATATTTTGCTAATTATACTGTTCTGTAGTGTGTTATGTATATTATGAGGTCAATTCAATGGTTCCCTGCCCTAGAGCATCACAATGTGCTGTGCAGATGATTATGGTGGTGACCAGCATCAGTATCCATCTCCTGGGAGGTCTCTGAGTGAAATGGACACATCAGACAGGCAGTAATATGCTCACTGGGGATGGGGGAGATGTTCTATAGGCTGTAACATCCTCAGAACATGCATTCATGGTAGAGTAATTGAGATAAATTCCCCCCTCCCCTCCCCATGGTATACCCCCACTAGAGCATCCCTAAAGCAAGGGATAGAGAGTATATTACATATGATTGATTTAGGGTGGCTCAGAATAGGCATCTGAGGGTTCAGGGTATCTGTACTGCTCAATATGCCCCCAGGGCATATAAATTCCTATGGAAGCCCCAGGGCAATATGTTCAATTATTATTGGATAGAAAGGTAGTATAATAGCATAACAATGAGAATATAAGGTTGTATTTGGAGCGCTTTACATGGGGAATGGTGCATGGAGAGGGGGAGGGGGAGACATACTACCCATCAGTTACATCACCAATGACCTTCATTTACCACATATAACAGCTGATTCACATACTACAGAATACCCTTGGTCAACCTGCAGCAAGTAG